TATATTTTTTATATAGCGGCCAAAAATCATTCGGCTAATTTTTATCAGGTGTTCCTGGAATAATATATATTCGTCGGGCATGTGACTGAAATATGGTGACGCATATGTGATTCATATAAAATTTACGCATGACAAGTTTCAGATCCCATGTAATTTCTCGTGATGTGATGTGTAAAGTACTGACATTATAAAAACTTGACCAGTATTAAAATTTCGTTGTTTAATGAAATGAAAATTTAATTTATGTAAAATTATCGTGTGTTCAAAATTACGATTACATTAAAATTACGGTAGTTTTACAGCCTTATATAGTTCCGATTTTCAAAAAAGATGGTTCGTTTAAAACATCGGTGGATTTTATTTGAAACTTTATTCGAAGACACATCTCACCAAGATACGTCAGTCGAGCCGTTAACATCTCATAACATTTTTACAACCGTAAAAGAATCTATTCAATCAAATTTTGGAGATTACGGGCGTGGATGTGTCTCTTCTTCACTGAATGGTATTGTATGTTTATATTTTGCACTTAAATCCATAGAGAAAGCTTTGATTATTATACTAACTTGTCCCATAATTCACTTGAATAGTAAAGTATTATTCACCACATACAAATATTGGATTATTACGGGTGTCGAGAGATCATTATCGCATTGTGTGGTGTGCGCTAACTTTTATAACACAAATAAACTCGAGAACATGTACCATAAGAGTTTTGCATGTAGGAGGTAATGTTATTTTAAATTATTTGATTGATTTGTTTTTATGATTCTAACATTAATCTTCAAAATAAATTTGAAGGTACAATTAAACAGTGCCAGACATCAGTTATTGAATATGATATGGAGCAAATACTGGAAAATGAAGACTTGGATGATGTCTAATTCTTAATAGGTTTTTTAGTTGGCTTGAGCTGGAAGGCGAAATGAATGTCTTTGCAAGTTTTTCGAAATGACCGGTTTCCGGTTCAATAGATTCTTATTTAGATTCAGCATCCGGAAATTGTGATAAAGAATATTAATTGTGGCAGCTTATGCTGAGAATTTGTCCTATTTTATTATAAAATTATAAAATTTTAGGGACTTTTTTGTAACTTTTTTTTCCACAGTAGGTTAGGGTTTAGGGTCAGTATTATTAATAAAAGAGTATATGTGGATTTTAGTAGATATTATAGATTTAATAAGGACCCCGGATCTCAGCATAAGCTGTCACATTAATTTAAGATGTAATAATTGATTTTTTAATTAAGAACCTTTGAAATATAACAGTAATGGGATTTTTAAGATGAAAAAGTTTAACACCAGTAGATTTAATGTCATGTAGGTAACCATTTTCATATGCTTATTAACTAAGTTATGCACAATAGTTATTTCTTGATGTATAGTTCTTATTTGACTAGGGTTGATCCAATCTTAAATCCAATCTATTAAATCAGACTTGCTCCAGATTCTATTCCGGGTTGCTACAATTTTTTTTCAAATTCTCTCCAACTTAGATTGGGATCGATCTGAAGTAGCTCCGGAGTATATTACTCTATTAACATCCCCAAATTTGACACAGTATGTTCAATAAAACCCGGGTTAGAAATAGGTCTTAGTCTGTATTGATGCAAAATCTTATTAAAAAAAATATAAAATAAACCGATTGGTTATAATTTGTCATATTAGAAGTTTATTATTCTGCTTAAAAACTTTTTAAAATGCAAAAACATATAAGAACCTAAATACATGAAAAAATGATCATAAATTATAGACCAAAGCTGGTAATTTATGAAAAAATGAATCAGAGAAATGATACGTTCTTTACTGTCTCAGTAATGCTCAAGATTGATAACTACGCATTTTATTATATACACTAACCCATTAATAACAATTCAGCCCATCGTTATTAAATGGACTTGGAAGACCAGAAATCCATTTTACTTGAATATATACAATTTATAAATTTAATTGTTTGCAAATAATTTATAAAAACAAATTCATTAACTAAAAATATAAGGCAAAATATGTGTTTTATTCGCAAAATTTAAAGACAAATTTGAATTTAAAAACATAATTACAGTGCTAGATAAAATAAGAAAATTATAAAAATTAATCGTAATTTAAAAAGGTTTATTAGTAATAACTTTCTTTTTTTTTTTATAATTCGGCTGCCTGCTGCTGTTTATTTAAGATTACAACTATTCGACAAATTACAAGAATTTCTCTCCTAGCTATATAATCCTCTGTACAATGGCTCACCAAGCTTTCGCCTAATGTGGCCTGCATCAGCAGTCATTGGCCTCAATCCAGGTCCGACGAATATATATTATTCCAGGAACACCTGATAAAAATTAGCCGAATGATTTTTGGCCGCTATATAAAAAATATA